ACTTTTAATAGTTTATGTAGTAGCTATGAATAAGGAATCAAGAGTTGACAAAACATATCAGAGTTGAGAAATGGAAGAGCTTTCCCTTCCAGAGTTGACAGTGGAATCATATTAATATCTCATTTTTCTTTATTGATTAGTATGTTCCAACTTTTGTTAAGAACCAAATGGTTATTGCCTTATTTAATTCTCATGACAGTCATATGTTGCTGTTGTATAATGGAGACAACAGCATCAAGGATGGCTAAGTAACCTGTCCAGTTTTCTCAGTGAAAGAATGAGGGAGTTGGGTTGAAGCCCAGGGAGTCTGACTCTGCAGCATATACCTTAAATCTGCATGATATTATCACCCATAAAGACATCGGTGTGGCCCTCTCTGGCCTCTGACTTGGATTTGTCTGATCGCAGGTCTAGATGCTGCCTGAAATGTGTGGACACTGTCCTTGGAAATGAAAGGTCTTGTCAGCTCATTTTTGATGGATCACATTTCTTAGAATAAGCACAAAATAAATATTTTCCACTTGCTAAGTGATTTTATCATGCCTCTCTGGACCGGGCTTCATGGGGGAGAGAGGAAACAGGTTTCATGGTTAAAGCCTGAGAAATACCTCTCAGGCAGTCATGGGTGAGGGGTTAGTAACGGGTGACTTCGGCCCCCATTCATGCTCACCTGGCATGGGAAGCTCGGGGTGGTTTGGCTCAAACGCTTAACAACAAGCTCCTCATTTGTCCTCCTGAGCTGATGGTCTGATCAAGAATTTGTCTGAGGGAATCTGTTCTAGGAGAAACCCAGCTGCCTCTAACAGGAAAGGAGAAAAGAGACACCGAGACATAAATCTCTGGCCTGTTGCCTCTTTCTTGGGAAGCTGTTCTCTCCAGCCTGGAAATGTGGAAATGACTAACTAGTGAGACCAAAGTCAGGATGAGTGTCGGAGCCATGGGCAGACATGTGGAGCCCTCTGAAGAGAGAGCTGCCCCTTTGTATAATCTATCTATATCCAGTATTAAAATCTTACATTAGCCATTAGGCACACAAGCACATGCTCAGCATCACTGACCATCAAGGAAATGCAAATCCAAACCACAATGAGATCCCAACTCACACCCATTAGTTGGGTTATAATTGAAAAGATAGACAATAACAAGTGTTGGTGAGACTATGGAGAAACAGAAGACCTTACACACAGTTGGTGGGATTGTAATATGATGCAGCTTCTTTTGAAAACGGTCTTGTAGTTCTACAAAATGTTAATCATGAATCCACCATATGACTCAGTGATTCTACTCCTAGGAGAATACCCAGAAGAAGTAAGAGTATAGGTTAGATACAGTGTCTTGGGAAGTCTCACCCATCTTGATAGCCTTTGTCCCCTGTCCTCTTTTGCCCAACCTCTATTTACTTTATGCCCAATTTTTTTAATGCTAAAAGTCTGCCAAGATGAGTTTATCTTTTTCATTGCTGAGTAATATTCCATTGTGTATATGTACCACATCTTCTCGATCCAGTCATCTATTATGAAATTTGCAGCAATATGGATGGAGCTGGAAGGGATCATGTTCAGCGAAATAAGCCAGAAAGAAAAAGAAAAATACCAGATGATCTCACTCACAGCAGGAATTTAGAAAACCTAAATAAGGGACCAGGAAAAAGGCTAATTATAATAAAGTGAAAATCAAAATCAACAAGCAACTATAAACCAGAGACACACTACGGGGGGAGGTGAGGAGGGGTTAGGGTCAAAATAAGGGGGGGTGGGAATTGTACGGGGGACTATAACCAAGATGAAAATGCATACATTGTGCAAAAATGAAAAATGATGTAAAAAGCATATATAAAATTAAATTAAAAAAATTCTATTTGATCCTCCCCCCCCAAAAAAAAAAGTCTGCCAAGATGAACTACCTGCCTGCCTCCCTCCCCTGTCCCACTCAAGCTGCCTTGCACAGTTATTCTGTCTGCCTGGGCCCTGAGACATTGAATTTATGACTAACTCCTCCAATCAGAAAGAAGCACTTTGTGATGCATCACAAAAGGAAGAGGGATGCAGATTGAAGAAACATACCTGTATTTGGCTGCTATCAGAGATATGGTATAGGAGTCAGAAGTCACAGATTAGGAATGGCATGTGAAATACTGGGAGGCAGGTTTCCGGGAGCAATAGTGGAGAGGAAAAGGAAAAGAAATGTTTCCAGGATAAAATGGAGGAGTCTAACCTTGGCCTAATCAACAAGGAAGCCTCAGTGGAAAAGGATCATGAGTTCTAGGAGTCCCTGGGACTTCAGAAGTCTTTTGGTTCCTTAGAGGCTCTCAGGAAAAGTAGCAAACTGTTTTGACCTGGTTTTCTCTGTTTACAAGAATTACCTTCATTAGAATGTTTACAGTCAGCCAAGAGTTGGTTCCAAGCAATCCATCAGGCATGTCTACATAGGTCTCAACTTTATTCCTAGGCAGAGCTAAAATTCTGTCCCATAGGATTACTAGGTCCCATATTAATCAATTCAAAAGTATTAATAAATAGGAGAGGTTGGGTATTTTCTAATTCCACATGCTCGTTCTTCTAATTATTAATTGATTTATCAGATTGTCCTCTGATCAATTCACTCTCAAAACCAAAGGAAACTAGTATTCCTCAATTGTTTATCCTGCCTAATATTCCTCAATTGTTTGTGTCCTTCCTAGTATTCCTCAATTGTTTACCCTTCCTGACTACTTAATAGTATTTCCAAGATTTACTATATGCATTAATTACTTGTGTGTAGTGTGTTGGTGCTTGAAATTTATTTCAACCTGATAGAGTAGAACCTGTTTCTACTGTGTTTTCTACTCACCTTGCATTTTCTTTGTTTGTCCCTGCCCCCAACCTATTTCCTGTTTTCTCTTGGGATATGCTGGCTAGTCTTAAATTTTCCTTTTCTTTTCTCCACCTGGTTGGAAGTTATATATTGCCTATTATTTTAGTAGTTAAGATTAAAGATTTTAATGTGCATAATTATCATAATAAAGTACAGGCAGCCTGTACTTTATTTATCAAGTTAGGCAGCCTGTCTCCATTCTTAGCATCACAAAGATGTTTATTATCACAATTATTACATTTTAAAGTAAGTTTTAAGGTTTACCATTATGTTAAGCAATTTCTTAACATGGTTTCTTGTGATCTACTTTTTCTTGGTTGAATCAATTTACATGTTTCTGAAGCATATCTTAGTAGAGGACAGAAACCATGTAGGATCTATGCTAAACACATAATATACATCATTCTGTTAATTGTATCAGTAATTCTGCATAATATGAATTAGTATCCCCATTTTACAGATGAAGAAAAAAGAAAGGCATGAAGAGGAAAGTGGTATGCCTACTCAAAATCAGAACTGGTATATTTCGGATGCAATATGATGTTCTGTTCAAAGACAACAAGTAAGCACTATCCTGAGAATCAGATAGAATTATCTTGGGCTAGTCAAGAAGCAATTAGAGGGTTATAGAATATGTGCAGGGAGAACATGGTGCTTAAACTTAGTGATTTGTGCAAGCAACTTACTTACAAACCATCCAATAGCTCTAAAAAATTGTTTCAATGGAGAATTTCCCAAGCCTGAGAGTTAGATTTGGCTCATAATAAATCTGGAGCGGGAAAGGATGCTTTAATGGTGGGAAGGAGGGAAGATGAAGGGGAGAGAGAAGGTAAAGGTATCAAATGGTCACTTGGCTTTACTCTAAGTAACTGAATCTGACAGTTTAAGAGAGTGCAGAAGTAATTTTTTAAAAGTATTAAAGACTATATTTTAACAAAACCTTAAAATCTGAATGGAAAACCTACCAGAAGGTGAGGTGGGAGCCAAGGCAGGGAGGGGTTCCATGAGCTGGGTGAAAGGTTATTGGCATTTTGGTGCTGGACATGGTGTGATAACATATATTTGCAGAGGTGTAAACTTGTACCCCTAAAACATACACAGTGTTATAAACCAATGCTACCTAAGTAAACATAATAAAAAAGGACTTTAATTTTTAGAATATTTTTAGGTTTACAACAAAATTGAGAGGAAAGCACAGAGACTCCCTATATATGCTCTGCTCCTACACGTGCAGAGTATTTCTCATTACCAATCTCACTCAATAGAATGGTATATCTTTGCCAAGGATGAACCTGTATAGACACATCATAATCAACTAAAGTTTACCTTAGAGTTTACTTTAGGGTCCACTCTTGGTGGTGTACAGTCTATGGGTTTGGAAAAATGTATAATGACACATGCCCATCTTTAAAATATCATGCAGAGTATTTTCACTGCCCAAAATCCCTCTGTGCTCTATCTATTTCATCTCTCTTCCTCTACCAGACCCTAGATTTTTATTTTAAGTTTTCAAAACATATCTGAGTCAGAGCCTAGATGATACACAGCACACCAAAGCTCATTCATGGAGGACACATGACAGCTGGCGATGCTAGTAGGAATACCATCATGACATTAGCGATGAACAGAAAGGGACTTCAAGTTGCCATCACCAGTCATAGCCTTTGGTGGAATTTGTGGCCTATTTGTGACTTTGGATGTAATAATTATCCTAATTTAATTATAAAATTATATTTTAAAAAATTCATCCAAAGTCAACACTAAACTACCCGGACACTGACAAAGCAACACCAATTAATTGGTCATGCAACACTCAATCTTCGGATTGAAGGAACCCACACTTCTCACAAGATGAGGTTCACTCTCACAATTAAAACTAGATCATTAAAACTGTACCCTGTTGGTAGTGACACATTTTGCGGCTGAAATCCTCCTTAAAACAAAACTTGCTGTCTTTAGAATCATGACAATGTGCTGAAAACACCCACACCCACCCTCCCTTGACGCCCTATCCTTGCCTGCTTGCACTTCAGCAAATCAACACCCAGGTTTTTGGATAAATTTAGTAAACTGCCAACTCTGGCGACCACCCATCATCAGGTGAGCTCACACAGAGATTTTCTTGCCCCAAATAACATACGTCTTACCTAAGGACTGTTTTGCAGAAGACTCAGCTTCTTGAGGGAGCTGCTGCCCACAGGCCCTTGGTGGGTGTGTGATCACTGGGTCGGGAGGACTGCCAAGTGGAAAGTGCCAAACCACATTCCGGTTCTAACACTGCTGTGTGACCTTGGAAGCATGACTCAGTCTTTCTTGCTTTATTCATCTGTGAAATGGAATACTTACATCATGAGACTGTTAGGGAGTTTCAATGAAGGCAAGTGAAGTTCTTACTGATTGATTTAGTAAATGTTAATTATCATTTGCTGATAGCATTAATTTAACTGGGGAATTGAAGTGAGCATAAGATGGTCAAGGTCAAGGTCAGGGAGAATGCATAGACATTTTCAATACACGAGATCCCATTACTTGAGTTTTACAAACCCAACTGACTCACTCTTGTGGTACTACTTAGTAAGAAATTATGGCTAATGGTGATTGATACTATTAATTAATTTTAAACATCACACACACAAAACAGAATACTAGTTACACTATGAAAGGTCATACAAAGTTGGAAGTTAATGTGTTCACATGTTCATTCACATCCTCTCCATAACGTGATGAACTCATCCTGCTGACTTTACAAACTATACACTTCTTCATCCACATCTATGTCTCTCTCTCTGTCTTTGTCTCTCTGGCTAGGATAGATGGAAATGTGTTGTAAGTATAAAATGTATACCATATTTCCAAGAATTCATATGGAAAAAGTAACATCAAATGTGTCATTGATAATTTTTATTTTGATTTCATATTGACATGTTTTTCATATATATATGAGTTAAATGAATATTGTGAAAATTAATTTTTCCCATCACTTTTACTTTTTTATATGTGGCTGTTCTACCACTTACCATTTCAGTCAAGTTGCATTGCGTTGCTGTCATTTACATACACATAATTCCATTTAAAATTTTATATGTGACTTATAATTTCATTGGACAGGCTGCTCTCCAGTTTTTGTCAATGGGCAGATAAGGATAATTTCCTATTTATTATATGTCAACAGCACCTTTAGAAAAATAAATACAGTTTATAATAATTATTTATTTAACTATACCTTCTAAAATATCGCTTGCCCAAAAATCTTTTCTCACATCACCCCAAGGAAAATCTAAGCTGTTTCTGTTGCATACTCACAAGTTATGATTTAGTGGATTCAAATTGAAAGCAAGCTTACTACATAGAGCACATAAGATAAAAGGAAATGATTGAGATTCATGGGTAAGTTCAAGTTTTTTTCAGAAAACGAGTGATCAACATGATACTCTGGTCTCTAAATAGACAAAGTGGGAAATTGGGGACTAAAGTACCTAAGTGGCTTTAACACATCCCTGAGAGAGGCTCAGACTTGGAACTCTCACCCTGTTGCCAGGCTGGCATCTATAAGTGCACAGAGTATTATGGTTTCCCCATCATAGATGCTTCCCTTTCCCCAGGAGATGTTTCACTAGTGGAGCTCTCTCCATGCAGCTGCAGGAGCACAGAGACTGGGTCGAGGTGCTGGTCACCTTGGGACAGGCCTGACTAAGTTGCCTACCTCTTTTCTCTGCATTTCCCAGTCCATTGAGAAGCCTCTGTCAGCAGATACTTTCTTCCCCCCACCTGTGGCATCCTGAGCTTATTCTGCAGGTTCTCTTGATGCCACACTCTCTGCACAAGAAGCAGTGACCAAGAAGCCTGGCTATGCAGTATTTGGGAAGGAAAGCACCTGGCTCAATGAGATCCACAGCCTGCTGCCAAGTGCTAAATTGCAGCACTGTGTGCCAAGACTGAGGATACCTGTTACAGTAAGACCTCTTAACAAGAAAAGGCATGCCAGAGACACAGCTCATTGTCAGAAACTATTATTAGCGGGGCTAGAGAGGAGCATTCCCAGGCACCAAAACAGGGTGTCATGGTACAGCTTTATCTATAAATGCTCAGGGAGTAATATGGAATGTTTGAGAAAGCACAAATATGATGGCCCTAGGAAATCAGAGGAAGAGACTGGGAAAGGGTAGAACTAGTATGTTTCCTGGTGAAGCAGTAAAGTGTGTCTTGAGTGGGTAAGAACAGTGAGGAGGGAAGGTGGAGACAGCAGGCAGTGAAGTCAACTATGACATTGACAATGGTACTGACAGCAACAACTGGTTTATAAAGTTCTCACTTATAAAGTTTATAAAGTATCCATATGTGCCTGGTGTGTACTGACTCCTTTATTCTTCAGAGACACCCTATTGTCATTCTCTTCATCTAATGGACAAGGAAGTTGTGGCTTTGGCTGGTTGAGTAAGTCACACAGTATCACACAGCCAGTGTAGGTAGACCCTAGATGCAAACACAAGCCTCTCTGATTCCAAAGTCTCTGAAATTTCCACTATGCTAGAGGCCAAATCAAAAACACATTTTGTTTGCTTATTCCTCCCAAGGTGGTGGAGAATTGTGTATTATCCATGCAATTATTAAAAATCACATTTGGCTGATCTATGACTCACAGAAAGATGAGTTTCACTTTGTAACTCTAGATCAGTGGTTCTCAAGACAATCTTGCCCCTCAGTAGATGTCTGGCAATGTCTAGAGACCTTTTTCATTGCCACGACTGGATTCTGGGTGCTACTGGCATCAAAAAAGGGTAGGTCATGGAGTTGGTAAACATCCTACAATGCGTAGGCCAACTCCCACTGCAGAGAGAATTAGCCAGTTCCAAATGCTGATGAGATGGGGGTTGATAAACTAGATTATAGAGAAAAGACATAGACATCTATGGAATGACCTGTCTTCTATAAAAGCCACTTTATAGCTCAACATATTTTTATTAATTTTAATTCAACATATTTTTATTAGGTGCACCTAACTGGCTAGCACCATGCTGGGTTCTGCAGACATACATTATTAAAACACCAAATGATTTGATTCAATATTTGATTCAAGAATATAGTTGAAACCCATAAGGTACATGTTTAAATGGTGTATAAGAGAAGACCTTTTTAAGAGGTGATAGACTCTCAAAATAGACACATAAATTTTTGAGACTGCAACTCACCTTTAAGTTAGCTTTCAAGTGCTTTTAGAAAGATAAGGAGAAAAATTAAACAATGTGTACATATTAGTTACCAAATTCTTATTTGAAGTTAAATTCATACTTATTCCTTATCTTGTCACTGTAATGTTATGTTTTTTCAATCAAGTGAATTTACTAAAAAGTAAAGAACTTTCCTATAACATTGAGGAATTTGTTTTAAATGTATCTGCTAAGAATATTGACTCGTAACCTTAAGACTTATTGTTGGTTATTGAAAAATATATTTGTTGGTGTCTCTGTCGCAGAGAATTACAATTGTTCACTTACAATTAAAACACTGTTTGTTGTAAGGATTGAAGCTTGTTTATCTATTTTGAATTTATTAACCCATTCACTAAGACTTCATTTAGTTTGTGATGAACAGTGGTGTTAAACTGGCAACATTTTTCAAAGGATTCCTTCTTGCATTGATTTGCACAAGCAAAGATTCAATTGTACCTTAAAGAGATAAATGTTGTTAAGACATAGCGCAATCTTCTAGAGCGCTATGTTCAGTGGTTAGAAGAAATCAGACATGGTTCCTAAGGTAGGGAGCCAATGGACAAGGGAGACAAAAACCAAAGAAGCAATCAGGAAGAACTAAAGTGACAACTGCCATAGCTGCAATGACTTGAGAGGTCCAGAGAACAGGGTACATGGCCCCATCTAGGGGGTCCAGGAAAGCTTCTCTGAGGAAGTGGTACATGAGCTAAAAATTTGCCAAAATGGGCAGTAGTTACTCATACTCTAAGCAGAGGGAAGAGCTTATGTAAGGGCCTGAAGTTGAGAAAGGGTTGGGTGGGTTCTGTGCCCAAAGCTAAGAAGTATAGATGAGGGTGCTGACTTGGGAGTAAGAGGGGCAGATGGCGGCTGCACATTACGTGTACAAGCACACCATGTTACTGAATTTATGCTTTTATCTTATGATCCATGCAGAGTAACTAAAATGTCAAAATGAAGAGGGTGAAGTGAGACATGTTCATTTTGGGAAGCTCTCTCTGGCCACTGGGTGGTGAATGGATTAGCACAGGAGCAGGGGGAAGGTAAGGAGACCATCTGGGAGATAAACATATAAAATGGTTTAGAGATGCTGATGACTGGGAATAGGATGATGGCGATCTAAATGAAGAAGAGTAGGTGAATCCAAGCAAGGTTTGGGAGGTAAAATCCACGGGACCTTATATCTGATGAATGGGGCATGATGAGGGCAGATGAGGGAGACAGAGGTGTGGCGGCCTTACTCCTGGGTTTGGGGGTTATGTGTCACTCTGGGGACAGCAGAAGCTATGGCGGATAACTCAGTAGACATTTCACAATGCACCTGCAGTGTCTCCTATGAACAGGAAAGGGGAGTGGACCAATCTCCCTATAATGATACGCATTACTGCCAGGTGTTTGATATGGCCTTTAATCTAGAGGAAAACAGCCATCAGATCTGAAACAGGAGTGGAAGTCTGGATCGTCTGAATATTTAACTCAAGGAGTTGAAGTCCTGCCAAGTCATAATCACAAAGCAAACCTTTTGCTCCCATTTCCTTCTGTGCCAATAATGACATTTGAAACAGGAAGGCGACATCTATTGCAAAGCAAGATCCCCCTCCATGAGCACACTGGTCAGTCCTTGCCAGGTGGTCTGCTTCAGCCGTTCATTTGCACAGGAACAGCTTCTGGGCTGGCTCTGAGATGAATCTATGGCCAAGATCAGCCATTTAAAGCTCACTTGCATTTATGGTTTCTGTACATGACACGTCACAGGGCCAAGGTGGAGGGAATAGGCACAGAAACTGTCACCTGAAAGGAAGGAGCTGGGCTGGTCGCCAAAGGCCGAAAAGAAGGAGCAGGAGGACCGGAGGAGAGTTGAGAAGCGCAATCCTGTTTGATGGAGGCAAGGTCTCGGTCTGAGTCCAACAAAGTACTACCCCTCCAGGCACCACGGCAAGGGAGTGTGACCTCAGTTCAAATCCCAGCTTGGTAAGTTGTCTGCTTTAAGGAAAGTCCCTCATTACTTCCCTTGAAAACATGGGAATCATAAAGCCTATCTGGGATGGCTTTAAGGGCAAAGCGATTTCGTCCTACGTGCTGGGAAGCCCTTCTCTTGTTCTGTTTGGGAAACACATAGATTTAAGAAGCAAAAGGGGAGCTTCCCTCCAGATCCTTTCTAATCCCCTCCACTCTCCTGGACTAAAATTACATGGGCCCCTCAACAACATGGTCTTGGGTTCAATGTGTTAGCTGATTTATTAAGTTTCTCCACTGAGCGAAAGCAAAGCAGCTGAGGTAGATGTTTAAATGGACCCTCCTGCGGCACACACACTCATCTTTCTGAATCAGCCGAGTGAGGTAATGTGGTGTTAGTCACATGCACACTGAGTAGTTAGGGGATTTTAAACTACATCACTCCAATTGTTATTATTTCATGTGTTAAAATTAGGTTTTTGCCTGAAATTGCTTAGTGACAATACTCCTGGACTTTCTTCCAAAAGCCATAAAGATGGCCTTTCAAATTTAGAAAATGCTGAAATTGTTGGAAAGTTTTATTAAGCTGTTTAGAATTTAAGACAGCAGCTTACAGAGAAGCAGTTAAGAAATAAACAACATCTCAGGATATTTTCCAGTTCCTTCATGAAGCAATAACTCAACATCTTGTCACATTGGAAAAGGAGACAGATCAAGTGTCTAAACATCCTAAGTGTCTTTAAGGAAAACACTTCTCCCTCCAGAACAGTGAATCGAGCATTAAACCACATGGTTGATGGTGAGTTATAGCATCTTAGACTTGGGACATATTTTACAAGTCATCTCAGTCTATATCCCCAGTCAATGAAAATTTCCTTTATTTATTTATTTATTTACTTATTTATTTATTTAGATTTATTTTTATTTATGCATACAAGAGCTGGAGTGCAGGCCAGAGGTGCGGGGTGAGGGTGAGAAGATTCACCAGAGACAGAGTGGGGAGCAGAATAGG